AAAATATTTTACAATTAATTAAAAGAATACTGCAACATTCTTCATATTTAGAATTAATTAAAAAAAGTCCAGCAGAGAGTTACATAACTTTCTCGGGAAAAAAGTTAAAATTGCGTTTAGCGCCATCTATTACACGATTTTATCTTTAAAAACTTTTGTATAATTGAATATTGTAAAATGAAAAAAAGCTTAATTTCGAGGGTAGAGATAAGTTTCATAAAAAATTGTAAATGTGATCCTATTAGAGATATGTCACACGATTCCCTATATTTCTTCATCCTCTCGACCTTTAACCATCAAAATTTAACAGTATTAAGGCATCTTATATACAAACCTCCATGAAAAATTTCAGAAATTTTTGGCAAAAGGCACAGGAGTTATTAAGCTTCAAAGTGTGTAAACAAAACTTCTCCCCCCACACAACGCAAACATCCATACACACAGAAAAAAATCCCATTTTTTTTGCATTTCTGGACATTTCAAAGTCCTTCGAGTCCAAAAATTATTTTAAAAATCGTACAGACATACAGTACGTACCGTAAAGTACATACATACAATTGGAAAATTTGATTAAAGTCGGTTTAGAAGAAGAATTCTCACATCCTTCAATCTCCCAGTTTCGATATACTTATGAATAATTAATTTAATCAAGATCATGGTAATAAGATCCATGATTGACAATGGAGAATGGCATTAAACGGGGATATATATATATATATCTGTCCCATTTCCATTAGAATGACACGTAAAGAAGGAAGAAAATTTTCCATCTGAAACCCTAATGGCACTGAGAACTTGTATTCCACGACAGATGATGTAGATATAATTAGATGTTATCTATCATACGTCGCTATAGTCCATCTAAGACACGCATTAAAGGTTATGACCCCGTGACCTTACTAAATCGATTCCATTGCTTATCATCCCAGCTAAAAAGATGATTAATGAGTTATTTTTCTAAGAAACTGATAAAGAATTTAAACCGCAAACACGCTCCTACTAAACTCTAAGTATATTATGTATATATATGCTGTAAATTGCCTCGTTAAATGATGATTAATTGTGTCGTTTTATACGTTAAATATCGATTATTCGAAAAATATTTTTATTTTCTTGCAAATTTTTATTAATATTTTATAATTCTTTATTTATTTTTGTTGCGGTTAAGGGATGAGATGCACTTCTCTATCCTTCTCTCCTTCGATATTAACAAATCTTCTTCTAGAATTTCTTTGGCTCTTCTCCAGATATTCTTTACTTTGTTCTTTCTTTTTTAAACTGTAGAAAATATATATTATATATTTTACTTTTCCTTTATTTTTGTTCTGTTATCCTATATATCAACTATACAATCTTTGAAAGGGAAGACAGAAATTAATTGCTATCTCGTTTCTCGTTTAGCAAAACTTATCTACTGAAATCCATATTCGTTTGGATGTGATAAGCGTAAACAATGATAAAAATATAGAATTTATGCCTATATAAAACTTAATTTAGTCGACTTTTTTCCACGTTTTAATGGATTTTCTGTAGTACGTATGTTGATAATTTTATATGATTTATGCATAAATGCTGATTATTTTTGCTAGAATTTTTTGTAATTTAATGTTATAGAGAAGATTTATTCTTATAAATAAGTGAAATTTATGATTATATGCAATATAATTTCATAAATTTTTTCTATAATTCAAGCATTAATATGGTTATTTTTTATAGTATAAGTTAAGCTAACACAAACGTTTATTTAATTCATATTTCCATGAACAAATGGAAAAATTATGTTTATACGCGACTTAATTTAATATTTCTTCCACAATTTAAACAGTAGAGATTAATTTCTCCACACAGATAAATAGAATTTATATTTATATATAACTTAATTTAGTAACGATTGCTAATATTTACGAACATAAACAAGCTAATTTACTATTTTTTAAAATTATTTAAGCTCATATGTGATTGATTTTCCTATAGCCNAAATAATTTTATTATTATTTTTTTAAATATATTTTTTATCGATTTAAATTTGATTTTTTTTAATCGTTGAACATATATAAGAGCTGTTTTAGTATGATAGAAAAGTTAGCTATAAAATCATCGTTATTCTGTTAGGAAAAAAAAATCATTTTTTAAAGACAAGATGGATGCTTTTAAGATAAATTGATTACGTTGTTTCTTTCTTTTTTGATCCTTGTGGTCATTCGGTTTCAGTATCAACTGTTGATGTTTGTAGTAAGCTCTTCCTACAATTGCATTTACCTTGTTTTTACCCTTTCAGGGAGGTGAAGTGAGTGCAATTATAGGAAGTAGAAACTGTTTGTTTTGAATTTTTTTTTATGAACTGTAGGAATTTTTAGAAGTAGAAATTACATTTATAGGAAACAGGAATGTAGAAATTAAAACTTTCTGTTGTAGGGTGTAGGAATTGCGGTTGTAGGAGTGAAAACTGCTGTTGTAGGAAGCTGAAATTCAAACTGTAGGTACTAGGAATTGTAGTTATAGGAAGCAGAAATTTCTGTTGTAGGAAACTAGAATTTCTGTTATAGGAAGTTGGAATTGCCATTGTAGGAAATAGGAATTTACGTTGTAGGAAGTTGAAATTGTTGTTGAAGTTAATAGGAATTGCTTGTTATGAATTTAGGAATTACAGGAAATATAAATTGCATTTACAGAGAATAGAAATTTTAGTAAGCCGTTAACTGTAATTGCCGGAAGTAATACAATTATAGAAAGTAGAAATTGTTTACTTATCATTTCCTCTCGTCTTCTTCAATCTCATCCATTTCTATTCAATTTCGATAAATTTCAAATTTCTTAATTGTGTCTTCAAAAGAAAATAAATCACAAACATATTCCAATAAAAGTCAATTAAGATTTAGCATCAATCTTTGCCTTTCATAAAAAGAAAAAAAAAAAGAAAACATAATTAAGTTTCTGAGTGATTTCATTCATTTCGAATGGAATAACATAAATTCCATTATTCGGCCATTAAATCGACAATGATAGAAGTTATGAAGGTATTCCATGGTTTGTAGTATGAAGCTTTTTCTAGTAAGATAAAGATAATCGTAAAGCTTTTGCAGAAAGCATTCGAGGATGTTAATGTCTTTATAGCCTTTTTTTTGCCTTTAAAAAAGCAAAATATGACTTTATTTTCTTAAAAATTGATGATTTATAGTAAAGGAAAATAGGATTTGAGTCGAAAATCTTCGTTATCTGAAGATAAGCGATCGTTCTTTACGTGCTAAAATGATGATAAAGTTAGCAAATGACCCAGAAAATTGAGCAATTTTTCAATATGTTTATAAATTTTCAGAAAATAAAAGGTTAAAAATAAAATCGTTTGAAGGTTAGAGGCATAGAAAAACCAATAAAATTTTAAATAATGAGTCTCTTTTATCAAAATAAAATCATTATTTTGTACAGAAATAAATTTGTTTTTATTAAAATGTAGGAGACAAATGAGAGAATTTTAATATATTTACGAATTTCCTGCATTTCGAAAGTAAAATATAATTTTATCTCCTTAAATTAATGACTTAGTACAAGTGAAAATATTAGATTTGAATGGAATATTTTCGTGATTGACAAGCTCGTCTATACGCGATAGAATGATGCTGAAGCTAATAAAATTCACAAAATTAATTCCTTCCTACATGCATTTATAAATTCTCGGCAAATTAAAAAGTCGAAAATAAAATGTTATAAAGGTTAGAAGCATAGAAAATGAATAGAATTTAAACAAGTCTTATCGAAGAAAAATCGCCGATTTGTTAAGAATAAACTATAGAAAAATTTGAGAAAATACTTTATAAATTNAATTTAAACAGTAGAGATTAATTTCTCCACACAGATAAATAGAATTTATATTTATATATAACTTAATTTAGTAACGATTGCTAATATTTACGAACATAAACAAGCTAATTTACTATTTTTTAAAATTATTTAAGCTCATATGTGATTGATTTTCCTATAGCCTACAATTATACACAAATTAATTTGCTAGATTTATCACAGTTCATGCTTATACACCATCAGTTTGCATGACATTTTCCATAATCTAGGCGTACATCTTGATCAAATTATGCTGTTTTTTTTGCATTTTATACTAATAAAAATGTTAATTTTTTCATGAAATTTAAAGATTTCTTTAGTACTATTTGCAGTTATATTATTATTTTGATATTTTATCGATTGTCTCGTGTTCTCGTATTCTGTATGTGTTGCAATATATACAGTACATTTATAGCCGTTACGTGATTTGAATTAATATTTTTCCGGGAATTTTTAGGGATTTTTATATAACATTCTAGAATTTTTCTACTTTATTTATTTTCCGTTATTTATTATTATTTGTGTTATATAATATTTAATCTTGTTGTAAAATATTGGAAAGAACTGTAAAGATAAGAAAGAAAAATATTTTGGCATTTTAATGAATGGCCTAGAAATAANTTTTTAAATTTAAAATTAAAAAAAAATTAATATATTTACTAACATTTGATTTATTTTTACAGAGGAAAAACGATGGAAATTAATTTAAAAGAACCTTCGAAGTACAAGCTGCCATTGTTGATCTGTTATTGATGGTTTCGACTTTGTATAATGATAAAATATCAAAGTTTTATACAATTTTTTCGATTTTTTTGGTTAAACATCGCTGAATAGAAGAATGTGAAAGAATGTACGGATGGAAAAATACTTTTCTTATGGCCATCAATGTGATAAATGCTTTTTTCTGGAAAAGAATTTATTCCTAAATGAGAAAATTCGAAATCGTTACAATAACCTGAATGAAATGTAAGATAAAAATATATATATATATGTATTATCTATATATACTATGAGAATTAATTGAAAAAGAAAGCTTTTTCTAGAAAATTTTGAAGAAATGTTGTGGATGGTGATCGTTATACTTCTATCGATGTCGAAGGCATCCCTGTGGGAACAGTCGTGTCCCCATTATTGTACCTGTATCGTAAGAGGATGGCAAGTGTTAAAATTAGATGCCAAAACTGTAGATTGTACCAACTCGTCCTTAATCCAAATACCGGAAAATGTATCCATAGAAACGGAAGTTTTAATACTTCGATATAACATCATTGGACACGCTTACCATTTCAGCCTTTTAGACTTGGTCCATTTACGACGTCTTCTCTTACTCGACTTAAGTTTCAATCGAATTCGTTCGTTAAAAAATATAGGAGGAAGTTTACCCAGCGTTAGATATTTAAATCTAAGTTACAATTGCCTTTCACGCTTAGAAGAGGGAATGTTTCGTGGATTTCCTCACATCGAAGTACTTAATATCCGTTCTAATCGTATCTCTCTCATTGCTCCCTTATCTATGCAGCTTCCCAAAATGAAATACTTGGACTTATCTAATAACAAGTTATCTTATCTTAGAACTCACTATTTTGCTGATTTACATTCCCTTAGGGTACTCCTGTTATCGAACAATCATATTGGAAGGATTTCCGAACCGATATTCCGCCATGCAGGACCTGTAGATCTCATAGATCTTGATGGGAATCGGATTAGCAAATTCGACGAAACTTCACTCAACTACATAACTAGCATCGGAGAATTGAGGTTATCTAGTAATCATTTGGGACACGTACCCACCGAATCACTTTCTCATGTGCCATACATTGATAAATTAACTTTAAACAATAATTACTTCAGGATACTCCGCTCCAATTCCTTCCGCTCCATCAACGTTTCTGAATTATTCATATCGAACAATGAAAATTTATTTGTTATCGAAAGTAGAGCTTTTTCCGATTTGTATCTCTTATCACATTTAGAAATTAGTGACAATAAGAGACTGACTTACGTCGAGAAGAAAGCATTTAATAATTTGCCACTATTAAGAGTTCTTGATCTGAGAAACAATAACTTGTTGGGACTTCGTGAAGATTTTCGACATTCTGTCAACTCTCTGAAGAATTTAACTGTGTCTGGAAATCCTTTCTGGTGCACCTGTGATCTGAAATGGTTACAGGAAGTCTCCCTGAAGGAAACTTGGGTAGAAGATGGACTTAATGTCACCTGCACGGATCCTCAAGAGGGATTCCATCGCAGTTTAATGAATTTGGACGATCTTCCGTCCGAATGCCCTCCTCTTATTCTTCCTCTCTTTCCAGAAATCGTGGATCGTCTACCGGCTAACAACGTATCGTTTCGTTGTGCAGCCACGGGTGTTCCTTTACCTGTCGTAGAATGGATACTTCCCACTAGAACAGTTAACACGCGTTGGAGCATACGGAACGACGTGTTATACGTCAGCTACCTTCACACGGAAGATTCTGGCGATTATCAGTGTATAGCTGTTAACCAGCAAGGTAACGATACACGTAACGTTCGATTAAACGTCAAAGATTTAAATATAATCATGATACCGGTAACGGTGGCTTCCACATTCGTAACCCTGTCGTGGAATCGTAGCGCCGCCGTTATCGGCGATTATCTTCTTCAATATCGAAGATTAATGGAAGATAAAGTTACCAGCAAGTCGATTAGTACCGGTGTAAAGGTGCACTCTTACACTCTAAGTGGGTTACATCCCGGAGAGACTTATATAATCTGGTTATGTTTGCAAAGGGAGGAATACGTCATCAGATTAGGTTCTCTCCAAGTTACCACTAGAGATGAAGGATTTTTATTGATGTTAGGTATTCGTACTAATTATCTTAGCGTTATTTTAGTAGCTGCAGGTGCCAGTTTGATAGTATTTAGCTGTTTGGGTACGTGTCTAGTTAGGCTATACAAATGGAGGAGGCGTCATCACAACGAGATGGTTCTCAGCGATAATACTTCCCAACGTTGTTTTGCAGAGAGTGGTTCTGCCCATTCTGGACTCGCCTTTATGACCTTTGTCAATGTGGCCGACGAAACAGTTCTGGTAGACAACGACGACGAAAGTTTCGAATGACAAAACATCACCGTTAAGTATCAAAGATATGAATAAGAGCCATATGGTGGCTGTCCCCGTAAAAGCACGATCATATTTATATCATAAAGACCAAAAACTCGAATAAATATATATTTTTAAAGTTCAAACAATCATTTAAAATTCCATCCACGCAAGAATAATGCGAAGAAACTCAAATAGAATCCTCCTAGATTGAGCTTAATAAAAAAAAAGGGGTGCAAGAAGATGACAAAAAATAAAACAAAATTAATTTTAATAATAATAGTAATAATAAAATATGTTTTTCTATACCATAAAAAATATTTTTCGATTAAATTCATTCGCGAAAATTTAAATTTCTTTTATTTGTCTGTACGTTTTCCCAGCAAGTAACAGAACAATAACCATGAAAGTTTTATGCCCGGTTGCCATATTTACGACTCATCCTCTACACAATTATTACCTAAAGGATATAATAATAATAAAAAAGGAAGTTAGAAAAACAAATTCCACTGTTTAAAAGTCGGAAAAAAGTCGCATCAAAGTAGGAGATGGTTTTTTATTACTTTTTTTTTGCCATCCCCTATTGGGGATGTGTTATATGTTGGAAAGGGGCAGCCACCAAATGTGTCTCTGGAGTGCTAGGATTCCATTCAGTGAGTCCTCCTATCTGTGATAAAGACTGAAGTATGTTCACTTCACTACTTCTACGTTAGCTGACAACCACATATCATCGCCATCTCTTCTTAGTTGCAAGCCAGGAAAAAAATATAAAGAAGGAAAGAGAAGAAGTATATAACATTTGTCGTCGTCTTGGATGAATATCCAGGAAATTTTAACTCGAAAATAACTAGAAAATAAGAAAAAAAAGAGGAAGAATTTTATCAAAAACCTCGCGCCATTTTCAATTTTATTGCATTCTTCTTAAAAGTCTTGTATAAATAAACAAAAATAAAATTAGTTGAAAAAAGTAGATCTATTTTTTTGTAGTTTTTATTCTCAATTTTAACCTTATTTTTAAGGAGTTAAAACTTGATTTTCACACATTTTATCACATCGTGTTTACGACTAAGTTGATAGAAGTTAATCTATAGAAGGCTATAAAATTTTGTAACTTAAACAAAAGTTAAATTTAAGATTTATTATCCTTTATATAACCTTTCTTTACTGGAAGATGACGACGAGTTTAAAGTAGAATTTTCATATTGAATTTTAGAGACGAAATTTTGGATGTAGCATTTTAAAACGATAAATTAAGAAGTTCGTATAAAAATATATTAAAGTTTACAAGTAGGACAAAATATTTATAAAATTATAAACATTAAAACTGTATAAATAAATAAATAAAAAGGCGTATATCCTAGAAGTTTGCACAAATTTCAAAGTCGTTTAAAATTCATTAATTACTCTGAAATAAAGTTTTTTTGGGTACAGGTGAGTTGTTCAACGTTCGGACGAAATAATCAGGACCGCAACCGGATACAATTCGAACTTTAATCTTAACCCCTTCTATTAATTTCCGGGAGTGGTCAGCTTTGAAATGGAAAAGTTTGGCCTCTTACAATTCCTCCAACTTACGCCTTCGCGGGAGATGCAGAACAAGCTTCTCAAATATTTTCACAAACTTTTGCGTCGGTTGGTATCAAAAATATTTCAATCGGCCTCAGTTGACGAACGTTTGGAACGTTGGCTTTACGGGAGATGTATGGAATTTCGTGATGGTCCAACTTGGTAACTGTGTCGTAAGCATAATGGGCGGTGGCCATGCTGGACAGAAGAATATCCTCGGTTTAGAAAGGGCATCAGCCTCTTCTTTGCCATACTCTTCTTTGGTGATGGAGAGCCGTTGCGGGGCAATGAAGGTTCGTGAACGTCCCTCCGGACCGATTGTCAGCCAAACTTGAAGCTTCGGCAAAAACTTGGAGCGCAGTTTGAATTTGACTTGAGGATTCACATCCAGCCCTTCTTTGGTGAAATCGTGACTGTTATCAGCGCATACACTTCCGTCAAAAGTGTAAAAGAACTCGTTGTCCATAACCTGACTGACATTGTTTGACGTCTTTGAGACTAATTAGCAGCTTTTGCAAAAAAGTTTTTTCGAGTATAGAGTTGTTCTGTCGTGTATTTTTTGGAACAGATTTAACAATCACCTAACGTTCCTTCAGTTTGAGAACGTGTCCAGGCGAAATTTTGAACTTTCTTCCCATTTTTATAAACATTTATCCAACTTTTCTCAAGGCTTCTTCCTCCAATCGGTCATTTCTCTCCTCTTCTTCCCATTTCCCGTTCTTCTTTCTGCAGGTTATCCATGCATGCTCTACTCTTGAGAAGATGCTACACACTGTACTCTACGAAACTCCAATTGTAAAGAAATGCTTAATTATATAAGATTTTTAGTAAATTACATTTCTTCGATTGAATTCATTTAACCCTTCCATTTTTAAAAATGAATCATTTCCATAGATAGAATCCAGAACAACCTAGAAAGAATGTATGCTATCTCGTGCTAGCGTGCAATTATTCGAAATTACCGAGAAATACTACTAAAATCTGCATAGGTTTTTAGGATACACACCTATAAATTTTAGACAGGAGATGCAAGAAATAAATTGATAAATGCTCGTATATTTAAAGCTTCATTAATAATTTATGATATATTATGATGTTNCGTTTCCTACAAATTTATCTATAAAAAAATATAATAAAACCCATATTATATAAATTTCTAGTTTATATATAAGGACATTACTAACAAGGATCTTAAAGTAAAGCAAAAGAATAAAAAAAAATCCTGTATCAGAAGTCATAAAAGAGAACAAACTCCAAATTGTTCTCGAAGGATGAAATTATAAATGATGTTGTTTTATGTTAAAGTATTACAACAAATAACAGGAAAATTCGATAAAAATAAAGGATAAAGGAATTCGAAATTAAGTAATTAATTTTCTTTTTTATTTTGTTTTCTTTTGTGTTTTTAATAATGTAAACAATTTTTTTTAATTTTATTTGCGTGTTTGTGACTTTATAACAATTCGGTCATTGTCGATAAACATGCATAAATGTTTTGTCATATTTATACAAATACAGAATAAACATTTTCATTGTTCCGTTTTTATTGATTCGTTTAATGTGTCCTTTTACAATTGAATGCACGTTCGACGTGAAGAAACGATAATAAACAGCAATTATTCTCATCTTGGATTTTCTGTGTAAATTCCCAATACACTTAATTATCTTCATGTTTACTTGTTTATAAATCTCTACTAAATCTCCTTTAGATAATAATAAAANTAAAACAAGTAAACATTGCACAAAAGCAACAGAATCAACATTCTGTTGTTTTTGTGCAATCCTTCATCTGAACTGCAAGCTGAGCGACAACATTCTGTAAAATACTCCAACATCCAAAGAGATGAGCAAAAATTACAGAAATTTATAAAATAATTTTAGTGATTATCGGAAAAACTATATAAAAAATACAAAAGAAACTTGAGCAGTTCAATCTTACCAACTAAGTTATTTTTTTCTATAATTTATTTTATATTTTTTACTCTTTACTTTTTATATAATTTATATCTTCTTACAAACTTATCAAATTTCTCTCCACCGATTCAATATATAAATATAAATGTATAGATATAAAATTATATTTTATTGAATGAATTTAACTCGAGAAATTTCAAATAAATATCTTAATGTAAGCCAAGAGATAAATCATAATTTATCTTTTCATTTTTATTCAAGCTAACATTAATCTTACTTTTAAGTTTTACTAAAATCGTTTTTTTCTTTTTCTCTCTACTTTTATTTCGTATTCAATCCAAAGACTTTACGTTATATTAATCAGGCAGTTTGCAAAAGTTTCTGCCTGTAATTAATGAGTTAAGAACGAAACTTTGCAAAGCAATAATGCTTGATCTTCACAGAATTTTAACGAAAAATGCTCAAGAACATCCCAAAAATGAAGAGAAAATCAGATAAATTCCTAAATGAATAACAAAATTAAAAATTCCCTAAACTAAGAAAAAATTAGAAAAATCCCTAAATTAAGAAAAAAAATTAAAAAATTCCCTAAACGAAGAAAAATTGGAAAAATCCCCAAATAAAAAGAATCAGAAAAAAAATCCCTAAAGAAAGAAATAAATTGGAAAAAATCCCTGAATAAAAAAAATTAGAAAAATCCCCAAATAAAGAAAAAATTTGAAAAATCCATAAATAAAGAAAAATTATAAAAACCCATAAATAAAAAATCCCCAAATAAAGAAAAAAATTGGAAAAATCCTTAAACGAAGAAAAAATTAGAAAAAATTCCTAAATGTCTTCTTTATTACTAGAAAAGAAGAGTAAATAAGTAGAATAAAAGAAAAGAATTTTGTTTAAATTAAGAAAGAAATGTCTTGTCAGTGGGATGCTGTGATGATAATGGAAAGTATTGAGATAGTTTTGGGGATTTTTAAAGTTATATTCTTACTTTTGAAGCCATTTTTTCGACTTTATACAAGAAATTGGTTTAAGAAAAGAGGATGAGACAGCCTGGAGGTAACACAGCAGCAATTGTAGTAGCAGTTGTAGTATAGCTTTGNCGAAGAAAAATTGAAAAATCCCCAAATAAAAAGAATCAGAAAAAAAATCCCTAAAGAAAGAAATAAATTGGAAAAAATCCCTGAATAAAAAAAATTAGAAAAATCCCCAAATAAAGAACAAATTTGAAAAAATCCCTAAATAAAGAAAAATTATAAAAACCCATAAATAAAAAATCCCCAAATAAAGAAAAAAAATTGGAAAAATCCTTAAACGAAGAAAAAATTAGAAAAAATTCCTAAATGTCTTCTTTATTACTAGAAAAGAAGAGTAAATAAGTAGAATAAAAGAAAAGAATTTTGTTTAAATTAAGAAAGAAATGTCTTCTCAGTGGGATGCTGTGATGATAATGGAAAGTATTGAGATAGTTTTGGGGATTTTTAAAGTGATATTCTTACTTTTGAAGCCATTTTTTCGACTTTATACAAGAAATTGGTTTAAGAAAAGAGGATGAGACAGCCTGGAGGTAACACAGCAGCAATTGTAGTAGCAGTTGTAGTATAGCTTTGACAAATCAATGAAAAGTATGTTCGTATGTTTTCCAACGATTCTTTACTCATTTCAAGAATTTGAAGAATTCTCTCTAATCTAGAATCGAAGATTGCATACTAAACAAACGTCAAAAGATATTAAGATGCTGATATTATTATTACAAACCGATACTCGATGCTACTTCAGTAACAAATGTAGCATTTGTATATAGTTCTACGCGTTATAATTAAATTTAATGTCAGCTTTGTAGTTTTATAGGTTTAAAATATAAGTTTTACATGTTTTAATACGTAAAACCACTAAATATAATTTAATAAATGATTAAAGTACAGTCAATTCTTCGAATTTTTTACGTTAAAGAAATAAATTATTTAGTTAATTAAATTATATTTAATGTAAATTAAGTACAATTTTTAAAATAAAAAAAAATATGTTTAAAACAAGTAAACATTNACTTAATTTAGTAACGATTGCTAATATTTACGAACATAAACAAGCTAATTTACTATTTTTTAAAATTATTTAAGCTCATATGTGATTGATTTTCCTATTTCATCAACTTTTACATTAACATGAATTCTTCCTCATGCATTACTTTATTATGTAATTTAACTTTAAAAATTTATTTAAATATTTAAAACTTAAAACACTATACATAAAGGAGTGGCCCAAAAATCTGATAACCGTATAGAGCTTAACGTTCGAGTATTAAATATAAAGGGTGGCTCAAAAGTCTGATTACGATTCTAAATAAAGCAATTTTACATCGTTGGTATAGTAAACCGACTTATGGACCGCCTTATATTATTTAATATTGAAATTTATAAACAAT